CTTATTACAAAACAGCAAGTACTTCTTCGGGTTTTTGGTAAATTTACGCTGGGTACAACACCGACATTTTTGGAAACTTCAAATAATCAACAGCGATTTTGTAGATATAATAATATACAGCCAAAATGGTAAGAGATGATTTGACAGCTGAAATTGAGCGTGTCGTAAAGAATATTTTTAGAACAGAATGCATAAGCTGTGCAAGCTGACGACTAAAACATACTCAAATGCAAAGGTAAGTTGTTTTGATATTGTATTTCGTTAGAATGTCTACATAGGTACTTGACGTTTAATTTTATACCGCGCATAGATGGTTTTTATTGGTCAAAGATCGCCGACATAGTACGAGATGTAAGAACACATGCGCATGTTCAGAGAAAATGAATCAATCCTATTCATACCGATTTTGCTAGAATTTGTTTACCAAGCACCAAAAATAATTCATGTACACCGTATCTACATATTGGTATACTATGACTAAATGCATACTGATACAGCTCTATAGATATTTCATGTCTGAAAACTCTTGCATTAAACATCCTTAAGAATTCACCAGTATCATCGTAGATGATGTTAACTTTCCAGAACTTGGTACGCGAACGACTATAAAGATACTAGCAGGAGACCTTGTGAGAACATCAGTGTATCGGTATGGTGGGGCACAAGTACACATCACTGATCAACAATGTTTAAATATCGTATTAGTATTAGTATCAAGACTTTATATTTTTTTATGGCTTCCTGTAGCAATTCATAAAGCATAAATATCAGAAATTGCTCCCACAAAGAACTCCTAATTTTTATAATCCTCCAATTACATCTTCAATAATTATTACTAATAACATCATCGCCCTCTACTGTACTATAAGCAAAATTTTTTCTTTCTCAGCAAGCTTACGACAAACTGTGCGCGTTTTTTGTTGTCAAAGAGTTTCAGAGATAATCTTTATTCAGATAGTGTAACATAGTTTTCTCCTTTCTGTAAATTTGGTCAGAATGAAGAATAAATTTACTCTCAAAAGTTTTAATTATATAAATTAGTCGAATTTTGAACATTTATATCAACTTTCTAAACATCATTTGTTAAAATATGTCAAGAAAAATAAAATGACGTTTTTAATTTTGAATTACAAATACAAAACTGTTTGTATTATTCTTTGAAAAAGCATTAATTTTTGTTTGATGTGTATTTGTGTCTCCCGCCAACGAGTTTCCCTCCGCTCGACTCATTCGCTGAGACGGTCCCCCAATTGGATTGTTTATCTCTCAACCTCGCAGAAAGTCTTTGCCTCTTGACAAAAAAGAGGAAGAAAAAACCAGACAAGGTTGTTTAACTTTGGGTGTATACATACCGGCATTTTTAGGATGAATTAAATTGTTTCAAAAGTCATGAAAAATGGTTATAATACGATTAGATAGCTAGGATCTAAATAAGCAAAGTTAATAGAAATATCTTTATACTACGAGTAAGTAATAGTAATCACTGTGATACTCATATTATTTCTAATAAATAATACTGTAAAGTTTGTCGTGCTTAAAGGTGCAAGACATAATCAAATAGTAAAGACTACGCGTAGAGAATGCGCTTAAACATATAGCGGGTATTTAATCAAACTGAGAACGATGGCTATGAGTTAAAACAGAGTACTCAGATGTACATAAATGGCCAAGAGAATTAACGATACTGTCAGTATGGGAGAGAGTTTGGAGGTGTGTACTGTACGTATCACGCATATTAGACGGTTAATGTCTAGCTGATAGATTGACGCCGGACATCTTCTTATTAATACGTTGTCACTTTCTTTTACAGGTGTATTAGGTCTCTTAATAAATGCGACAGAGTCCATTAGTATGCCCTTTGCTGATATATAGTTTTTCTTATCGATATGGAAACAACTTGTGTAACGGTTAAGTCAATACAATAGAATGTGCCAAACGCGAACACAACAAAATCTCCAAAAATCTTGACAGTTTAGTGAAACGATAATTAGTTATAAATACGAGTCGTAGTTAATAGTCGAACATCATCTTCAGATCATATCTTCAGCAAGACGTTGCAATTAAGGATAGTTCCTTTTATTCTAATAAAGATAATACATATTTAATCATAAAATATGTTATTTCGTTCATGCCCTGGTAAAGATACTTAGCGTCATTGGTGAAGTGTAAAACGCTTTCCCCATTGGCGAATACTTGCCAATCAATTCTATTTAGTACTTTTGCATCAGGATTATTGTTTAATTATATTAATAGTTTAGAGAGATAATTTTCCCCAACCGATAGGCTTTGAGACTAATTCCATCAAAGAAATCGAAGCGATACTCGGGGTTAAATTCAGGGACAGCGCATACGAGACCGATAATATACAGATCGTGAGTATAAATCCTAGTTAAAGGTCACTAATTGTAATGGTAAAGACTAATCGATAATTAAATTTAAATAGAGAATGATTTAATCACTCATCTATTGTTGAAAATAACTAATTAAATATTATGTAGAAAATAATATGACTGAGATGTAATGATAGACATGTAATGATAGACATGTAATGACATTCGCATCTCCGAAAAAGATCTACCTCGGCAAAGTCAACTAACAGTAAACGTGCACTATTTTATTTCGATTTCTTTTTAACTCAACTCATATTTAATCGGAAGAGGAGGAGTAAACCCTTAAGTATAAACTGTTTATTCAAAGAACATTTGGGTATCTAAATTATAAGAAATGCACGGTGTTAATATTGTAAATTATATCAACTAATTGTTGTATTCATACCTGCAACTGAATCATAACTGTTTCTCGGTTTAGGCAGATCTCCTGTAGGTAAGAGCTTACTAGAATATTTACTCTCCTTCTCAAGACGTGATAAGGGTTTTACATCATTATGATATTCCATGCGTTGCTGTCAGAATTGTCGTATTTCGGTAATTTCTGAGTGAGGAACCCATTTAAGGTAATTATTACTAGTTGCGATTAAGTTGGCAATTGCAGTATTCTTAACTAACGACATAGTTTTGAATAAAAAAGGTTTCACATAACAATTCAGAAAGGGGTCATTCTCAACAAATATTGTGTTACATTCCCCATTAGTTAGAACACTGACAAACATAATTAACATATTTCTAAATCAAAATTGTCAGAGCGAAATTAATATAATGACCAATCAGATAGATGCAAAAGTCTTCATTATAATCCAACGTTATTTAATTTTTTTGATCTGATTATTACAAGAAGCGTATGCATGTTTATTATTATGTGCTGTGTACAATATACGTTTGTCATTGATGTTACAGAAGGCTTAAGAGTAGCTAATACTTATTTTTGAGATCGTCTAGTAATTTACGGCATATAAAAGAATTCGACCTCGGTGCATATATAAATTCGCTTAGTTTGTCTTCTTTTTCTTTCTCCTCTTTTTTCCCCTTCTTTTTCTTCCTCCTCTTTTTTTCCCTTCTTTTCCTTTTACATTGGCTTCAGATATGTCGAATTAACTCTACATTAATGAATAACCTAAAATTCAAAGCCACCCGTTCCGAGTGTAATGGGTGTAGTACGATCATCTTTATGTTTGGTGGTTGTGTAGCTTGTTCACCTACAGGCTCTTTATTGTGTCCATAAGTGCACCCTCCATAAATGCACACCCTCCCTATATGCACACTGTAGCCCTTGGGACTTAGAGCTAACTAAGTGCAAGAGACAGGTGAAATTTCAAAAAATCAGCCAATTAAATCAATCAATAAATATGTAGCGCAATGTGGTAGGTATCTTAAAATCTGGTATAACATAAGATGTTTCTTAAAATAGTATAATTGCTCGAAAATTTTCCAAATTAAACGGAGAAGCAGATGAAGAAATAAATATTTCTTATTATTATTACAGAATATTGAAAATTTTGTCGAAGTCAAGAGAACAAATTTAATGCGCCAAACTAACATTAACATTAACACATAAAGTAATGGCTTGATTTAGAATGTGATTACTAAATTCGAAAATTTCGAATTTAGTTACTAAGTTGTTTGTATAATATTGGAGGAATATTGTTGTGTTACATGCAACGAGTGTGGTGTTTTATTAGGAAATATATTTTTAAGCGTTCTCCACAAACTATCATTATGTACACCGTGTACAATATCCAGAGCAATTTGTTGCCCTCAACCAACTTAAAATCAGGATAAATTTCTAAATCGTACGTTGTAAGTGAGAAAATATGAGAGCAATATTTTATTTCGCGCTTACAATACATTGACATGCAAGTAATTACAATGATCAGTTCCTTTGGCAACACAAAGTGTCGACAACGTTTAGTATATTAACACAGCTGTATATTAAGACTCTAGATTGAGTGCAAGCCCAAAGCGATGCGTGTTTTCGTTAAGGCGAGATGTGTCAATGCTAGCACCAAGCGAAATTTTAACACCTCGACGAAGTGCCTGTGTGTAGCCAAGACCAAGACGGCCAGCATTATCGATTTTGGTCTATATACATATAACAACAAAAAAGAGAGAATAGTTAGATCGATCGATCGATTATCAGGAAATAACAAAAAACTGGCGAGCAAAAAACTAAACCCAAATTGTACAAACTTTAATGAATGCATCTTTATCGAGCGTATATTTAGCTCCGATTTCAATATTAACGGCATTGTTTTGATTGGCTGTAGTATCCCAATGTGCTTTCGCCCCAGCCTCAACGTCCGAATGAACGCGGTGGTAAATAGCAGCGGTATATGCACTTAATGAGTTAGATGCGCGAACGCTGATATTATATTCAGGCGCAACAAATCCAGCTGCAATGCCGTAACCAACTATCTCCCCGCTCATCACATTGTACGTAGCCTCACTGCCAATAAGGAAACCTTCATGGCCAATTACTGCATCTCCCGTAAATGTAGGGCCTTTGAAAAGATCGAGGTATATTTTCGTGTGAAACCCTGGCTGCTTAAATATGACACCCGTTTTAGCGCTCTTTTGACCGGAGCTTGGGAGAAGAGATGCGGAAATGTCCAACTTCAAGCCTTTGGCCACATTATTCTCTAGCTCGAGTTGGCCAGTCATCCGATTAAAGCTTGACCAGCCTCCCGTAAAAGTCACGCCGCTCTTTGGATACGCATATTTTGTCTTGAGTTCCCCTTGCATGTTTGCCTTCGCATCTCTGGTTCCAGAAACGGTAAAGGACTATATCAAATATGAAAACGATTTGTCACATACAACGCCGTCGACAGGTGCAAAACCAGGAGGATAAATGCTACATACCACTCCATTTGAAGCAGTGGTCTTCGCGTCCAGTTTAATAGCATTAGGGTAGTCCTTGCCCAACAGATCATTGGCAGATTTGCCAATATCGGCAAAGCTAACAGGAATTGAGGACATGTTCTGCAATTCGGATAATCGATTGGTGTAAGATACGAGGAAATGAATCTACCTTAGTTGGTAGTCTGGTATAATAAGCTCATAGGACGATGACCAGGACGTAAGTATTGTCCTCTACGAAGGTATAAGATAACAAACCTCGGTAAGGTATTCGCAAACGGGCACTTTACTTGTGAAAGAGTGGTTATAGGGGCCTGTTTACAAAATTTTTTAATTGATGTTAGGTTTTTTTTTTTGCAGTTTTACAAAACTAGAAAATGAATTGACTGTGTAACCTCCATCAATTACATCAAAGATTATGACGATCTTGTAAATAAAGATGCGGGATGACTAATTCGACATCGACGAGTAAAATATACGAGCAGATTGGTGCGAATAAGATATTTCTTTGTCAGGCTGGGTAGCCGAAACCCATAATGTCATCAATTGAAAGTGAAATAACATATTGCATTCGTACGTGTGAAAATCTCAAGACACCTATCCACATATTTTTATACTACTTCCAAGCGAAGTTATATAACAAATAGCTCCGTTGACAAATTCCCGATGACGAAGACAAGACTGCACCTAAATTATAATAGTAGAGGCTCTCATTGTAACACGAATTCATACTAATGTGTGAAATTCGCAAGTAGATTTCTTAAAAGGGACGATGACTGTTACAGGTAACACATTAATTAGGCTGGGACAAATACCATTGGCCGATACCTAGAACTTGCGACGACTTTCTCCTTGACATAGAATTAACACTTTCATTCCATCCTAGCTGTCAGCCAAAGAAGATTAATACGGTATTGGATCACTGCTTAAATTGTATGGCTGCGTATCAACAGCTGGCTCATAAAGAGCTGTTTGCCTTGCAAACTTTGGACAGTGTTCCAGTTGACATAATAGCGACAGACTTTCAACAGGAAAGACGGACTGCAATACCATGGTATCTGAATGGGTGCTTGCTGACTAAGGTAAGTTGAATTGGCTATCAAACAAGTAGCATGCGCAACTACTCGAAATCGCTGAGCTTTGTCGAAAATTCGGATTATAGGCATTGATTTTCGGTGTAATCTTTTCATGGACTTTGGTGGTTATCTACCAGGTTATAAGAGTGTCCTCGTAAACGGGGTGGGTTTGAGTTGATGCACTCCTGGAGATTACACCTACGTGTAGTTTTGGAACACTATTATTTATTTTGTAGAATAGTCAAGACAAGAAACATTATTTTTATGTGTATGGAGTTTTCCGAAATTTTTAGGATCTCCAATGCTGATTTTAATGGACAGAACGAAACTAGAAATCTTTAATCTCGAGTTATGAAATACCTTCCTGAAAGTCTGTATTATTTAGACATCTTAATCTCATATACTTCTCTCTTCCAATTTGATCCTGTTGGAAAGTTGAATTTGCAACCTTCTCCTGTGACAACAGAACATTTTAAGTGTTCCTATAAGCCATATTCCTTGGCATGCAAATGCTTCATTCTATACCATCAAAGCAGTCATGCGTGTATCGTTGTAACTTTCCGGTTTGCGATGAAATAGTGCTTTCCTAAAAATCTCTTACTAGCTGTGATTTCTTTTGTTCCATTAAATAGCTATTAGTAACAGCCAAAAGAAAACAGTATACACTTTGGGAAATGGTATAGGACTAGAGTCAGGACAGAACCACCAAGAGCCATAGATTATCACCTTCCGATCATAGTCAGAAAGTGTGGGTGGTTGGATGCAGATCGTAATCTCATCCAAAGGATTATTACTATTCCCTCAGATCCATTCTTATCAAACCAAAGATTAACTTCAAATGTAGCAAGTGCATTTCCAGCAGGTTTTTGTTTATTTGTTTCCCTTTCAATATTTTGGAGAGGTTGCGAATATATCAGGCATGCTGTGGTCAGAAGTGAAGTAGTAGTAGACGGGATAATACTTGGGCTTCTAACAAGAAAGAAAATTTTTTGGTCAACAGAAATCTAAAAACAAACATGCCGAGAAGAAATACCTTCATGTTCAACATGGTTTCTCTTAGGTAATAATTGAGATTGAGAAATTTCAAGGTTTATTATCCATTTTGGGGGCTAGGTATGTTTAATACAAAAGAAGTGCTCGTGGTAGTAAAAACAGTGTATAGCATTGTGAGTTTAATATACTCTTTAGAAGTTGATACTCGTTCGATGCAACAAAGTTATTGGGAATTTATCGTTATTTTGTTTAAATATTATTTCGTCAATGGGGGGAGCTTATGCCAAAATGTTAGAGTATTGGGGCCATAGAGTGTGACAGAGACGCGAAGCGAAATGCGGATACTTTTGATGAAAATCCAATAAGAGCATTACAGTGGATTAATGTTGAGGCTGAACCTAACCTTCATTAGCAAGATAATATTTACGATATAATACACTGTAACAAAAAAACAGCGGTGACAAATCTTTACATTTCTGAATAACCACAGCATGTATAAAAAGCCTCACAGTACTTTATTGACTGTAAAAATTTTAGTACGGAATTCGTCACCATTTTTTTTTTCAATGATCAATTTACATCTATTTTTCATAGACCACAGAATTAATTACTGTTACAATAGGAACTGCTTCCCATTCCTCAATTAAAAACTGTTTTAATTCCTTAACGTTTATTCTTACCATATATTCTCGTGAATAAGCACCCGCTATTAGCAACATAACCTAATTCTCACCAATAGTTTGTTACACAAAATTTTAAAAATTTATTTCATTAACTATTTGCTGGTCAGTCAATTGCCTTAATCCTATTTTTGGCGATAAATTCTTTTGCTACTTCAGATGTGTGCTTTGGGTCATTATCTTGTTGTTGTTAACATACATGTTGTGTGCAGTTGGGTTGGCAGGATGCTAACATAAAATGACTTATTTATTATTTGGTAAAGCAAATAAGTATAAGAGAATTACTTATATTCATTTAGCAACCGCCGTTTTTTTATTATAACGGGTATTAAATATTGTATATATGAGCGACATTTCTTTGTCCGCTATTATTACCAGGTACATCTGTTGAACCTGACATTCGGTGATATTATTCGTCTTTGTCCGTTATGATGAAACAGCAATGTTGTTAATTCCCTAAACATATATAATAGGCCATTAAGAGTAGCGATTAGATTAGAAATATTGTAACTCTTATTTAATTACGGATATTATAGAAAAGCCGATGGAAACCATGTCCAATTTTAATAAACATCTATGCTAACCTTTTTGTTATAAAACACATCTTAAACCTTATGTCATCTTAATTTATTACTGAAAAAAAAAAGTCCCCAAAGACACATAATACACAGTAGTTAGCATTATTTTGGAACCAAGAATGCATTCTCCAAAACTCCACCAAATAGCTGGCATTCCCTAAAAGAATTAATTACGAATTTACCACAATACATGCAGTACATAAATCCCGGATTTACAGTTCAATGCAAAAGTAATGAGAATTTTTTGTGCATACAAATAAAATTTTATTTGTCAAACCAATCTTACTCCTATTGAAAACGGGTATCGCAAAGTAGTAGAGACAATTTAGGCCTCAAAAATTATCCACGACTTCAAAAGGAATATACTAATCATCATCATCAGTACCTCTCCTACCATATTTAGTAGTAGGTATTTGCCAAATTGGTAATAGATCGGGTATTACCTCCCCTACCAAATTTAGTAACTCCAAACGTTAATTTATGCTCATAACTGATGCATCACAAATTATATCTAAACATGCTCAAACTGTCGGACTACCAAACATTATTTAATATGAACGGAGCCGTCTTGGCATATATGGTTAGCACACTTGTGTATGGCATTTTTATTTCCGTTGCATCGTTACAGGGCCGTTAAGGCTATGCAGCAATATGAAGAGAGTGGCAATATATCTTTGAGGGATATAAGTGGATTGATGATTCATCACTTGCGTAATACCGTAGAATGACCTAAGGTTTTAGTTCTTATAAGAGTTTTAGAGACATTCTTCAATCGGAAGATTCGAGGTGGGATCTGCTTGTATCGCATCTCCAGGATTCTTGTCTGCATTCTAGTCATAAGGTGGCTATCGCGTCTATCAAGATTTTATTGGAAAAGAACTGGTTTGGGTATGAAAACAATGTCAGAAAGCACGCATCATCCGGCTAGTGTGAAATGCTTCGAACCGAGCTCGAGTATTTTATCCAGGAACGATTAGCATCGAACTCGTTACCAATTTCATAAAACATTGGCCTCAAGATTTACTTTTTAATAAATATTCTTTATTACATAGTCAAATGATCTACCTCGGCAAAGAGAGCTAACAGTAAACGGGCACGATTTTATTTCGGCATCTTGTTAACTCAACCATATTGATATACGTGAAAGTACTTTGAATATAACTGTAAATAAGACCGGTTGAATTACAAATTTATTCAAAAAAGAGTTTGAGTATCTAAATTATAAGAAAGCACGGTGTTAATATTGTAAATTGACTTTATTTGCACCAACGTGTAACCATACCTGCTGCTGAATCCATATCATAGTTATTTCTTGGTTTAGGCAGATCTCCAGTAGGTAAGAGCGTGCTAGAATATTTACTCTCCTTTTCGAGACGTGATAAGGGTTTTACATTATTATGATAGACGGCATTCCATGAATTGTCGTTTTTCACCTCTTTAGCAAGCTTGCCAATAACATCCCAATAAAGTGAATATGCATCTGGACGCTTATCAGGATCAGCATCACAACACCGCTCGGCAAGTTTCTTGTATTCCTCTGGTGCGGAATCAGGCATCGATGGTCGTAGTCCGCCCATAATGTTGCATACTAAATCTCTATCGAACTGCCTATCTCTAAAAGGTGGTTCACCAGTAGCAATCAAATACATAATGATACCAAAAGAATATACGTCTGATTTCTTGGTAAATTTGCAAGTATGGAAGACTTCCGGTGCAATAAAAGGTAAAACGCCTCGAATAGTTGAATTTTGTTGATGTGAATTCACCGATTGAGAAAGACCAAGATCGCATATCAATGATCGTGTTTCATGCGTGTCATCATGCAAAACTATGTTTCCGCTATGAAGATCACAATGCACTAATCCCTCTTCATGAATATTCCACAGATATAATGCAATATTCCTCAAATGGTGTAATTTCATATTCCATGTCAATTTGTTAATATTTTGATCCAAATGAGATAAAAGACTACCATTGTTAGCATATTGCATAACAATTATGTACTCTTTTGTTTCTGGGTCTTGTGTGAATCCATAAACTTTAAGGAATGAAATACGATTAGTTGCACACTTGGCATGATTTCTGAACTATTATATAAATAAATACAGAGTCAAATTAAATATCACTTTAATTAATAACATCAACAATTGCTTACCTCAGAAATAAATAACTCTGGCGTTTCATCAAAACCCTTAAACCGTTTGAGTACAACAGTTTGTGGTATATCCTCTTCTTTATATTTGGCAGTTCCTTTATACTTGGCAGTATAAACTGTTCCATAACCGCCAGATCCGATCTCTTTGAGTTCGTAAAAGTCTGTGTATTGCATATATGCAACACCTTTGTTGTTAACTTGTATAAATCTATCCAATATCTGACGTATTTCATGGTAGAAAACTAAATAACATTCCCGAGTAGATGGCTCCTGAGTGATCCCAATTATCCAAATATTTTCGGGTGTTAATATTTCGGGGTATTCCTTAGTTAGCTGTTTGAGTAAACAAATACAGTCGTTAAACGTACGATACACATGTTAGTAAATACTATTTGCATTTTACACGTGAAATAATTTACCTGATGAAAATCAAATAACTGATCGTTTTCTTTGTCAACTATCTTTTTGAGTATCACTCTCGTCGATTCATTTGTTGTCCATTCTGCTATATGTGTGCATCCATGGCGTA